CCCTTGGGCATGTCTTGCCTCCTAGGAGCAGAGTCCTGGATGGGGGTGATGACACGTGCCAGTCATGCATTCGTTTTTTTGGGGCATGCGCTGTCGTAGGATAGAAGCTCACGCATCTTTTGTCCTCCCCTCCTTTCCTCAGGGCGGTTACAAGGATAAGAAGACACACTTCATCGAAGGTGGCGATGCTGGAGCTCGAGGGGACAAAATCAATGCTTTCATCAAAGCCGTCCTGTAAGCCCGCTCAGCGGCAGGTGTGTTGCTCTCCTCCATGTTGCCTTGCTCTCGACGCGGGAAGGAGGTGGAAAAGAGAAAGGAAGGGTTAGAAAGGAAATCTTTCAGAGAGGAGGCGTAGATCGTGTCTAGCTAGGAAAGTCTAGGGAGATAACCTTTGGATAGGGCGGGGATACTGAAAGAAAAGAGCACGAATTACAACGAGGAATATTTACGATGACTGCGAGGAGGTTATCTTTTGGGGGGGCGGCTCTATCTTTTACTTTGAAAACACGAAAAAGTCCAATATTTGAGACGACGAACATTTCCACCCATGGCAGCCGTCATATAAGTCATGAGGAAGAGCAGATACACATACATGAGCCTTTCTAAATCATCGAGTCACCAAGGGGAAAACGATTGAATTTCAAAAACCGTTGCCGGCGTAACGGCCGATGCGCTGAGCCGTTAAAACGCCTAGGGCCTGTGTAGACCCTTGAACGTCGATTTCAAGCCCTCTGTCACAATACATGGGCCTGACACGTGTCTCTGATCAGTCATAAACTTTCTTTTGGCCTTTTGAGTGGATTTGATGCATCCAGTGGGAATAAGCGCATTGCAGTGGGAAACGGGTACATGGGGATGGGACCTCCTCTCATACCTAGGTGGCTCTTGTCTTCACGCGTGTTCCTTGCTTATTAAAAATGTTCCGTTTCATCCAATTTCTCCGTTAGTCAATTGAGCGTGCATCAAAGAATCGAGATGCTATGAGCGGCCACAGTGAAAGTTGTAAGGAAAGCGCTCACCTGCAGAGAGAAGGCGGAGGGAGCCAAGTGGGAGACAAGGAGACATTTGTGGCGTTTGCAAAGTTCATTCCGCGGGGTGAACATGAAATGGGACTGAAACCGAACGACGTGGTCGAAGTTTACAATCGAGAAAACCCGAAGTGGTGGTACGGCCGAAAAGACGACGGCTTGGAGGTAAGTGATTGATGATGGAGGCGGAGGGCCAAGAGAGTAGAGTGCCCCCTCACGAATCACGGTGTAGCATCCACTCCAAAGCGTGAGGGTACCCTCTGCCGTTCTCTAATGTCATAAAATAGCGTACTCAGGCGTGTTTGTGCAAAAATATTGGACGTTGACGGGATATGCAGGTAGTCAGTCCGAGCTTTCCATGTGAGAATGCGTGTCTGTATCGACCCCCACACCCGCCTAGACGAAGAGGTGTGCATCGACAACGAGAATATCAGATTCTCGACGCATACCATGCCTGAACACGCCCAATGTCCTTCCCCCCTTCCAATTCCCAATGGTTTGGTGAAAATGCCTGTACCTCCTCATTACCCTCAGGGCTGGTTTCCTGCGAATCATGGGCAACTCTACCTTCCCCCGCCCTCCTCCTCCCCACCTTCCTCCCTCGCTACCTCCCCCCTCCCGCCCGCTGGCACCGACGGCAATGCCATACGCGCAGACACCTCCCTTGATGGCTGTAAGAGCAGCCAAGAGGATTGTTTCCGACGGGACGCACCGCATCTGTGTGGGAAGGAAGTGAGGGAAGGGAGGGAGGACAAGGAGGAAGAAGGGAAGGAGGAAGGGAAGGAGGAGGACAAGGAGGCAGGGGGGGAGGCAGGGGGGGAGGACAGGGAGGAGGAAGGGAAGGAGGAAGGGAGGGAGGACAAGGTTGAGGAAGGGAAGGAGGA